ACTGTATGTTGTAGATGACTCCTGTTTTTTTTTCTTCTTGGGCTACTGGGTCTTTTGGTTTGCTTAAGATGTTTTGGAGGTTTAGTTGGTTTGTGTGCTATGGAGATGCCATGTGGTTGTATTAGTCTGTTGGTAGTTTCAACTGGGAAACTACCAGAGGGGAAAAAATAAAACAAAACCCACATCCACACCAACACTGGCAGGGCATGCCACTGTATATAAACAGAGAGCAAACCCCATCCCGTTTTTACACTGAAGATGTTACCTAGCCGGGTAACAAAACGTTTGCAAGAAAACAACCAAGCTCAGAAAACCCCAAGAACTCCCCTCTCTCTGTAGGGTCTGCCAAGTTTTACACATTTTTTCAAATGCAGGATAGTGCCTTGGTGGCTTTGTAGCTCCCTCTCATGGCAATTACTGGGATATTTCAGGAAATTACTAAGAAAGGAATATTTAACAAACGGAGACTGTGCAATATTTAACAAACTAAAAATGTGAACAAGAGTATATGACTTAATGATTTTTAAAAATTTTCCTATTGGTCAGTTGGAGGGGACAACAGTTGAATGGCTTTGAAGGGCTTCCGACTGCTTCTGAGGGAATAGGGAGTGGAAACAGCAGTTATGTGTAAAGTGACCCAAGCTCATATTTCAAGCATCCTTGATTACAACTTCAGCTCTCTAATTGTGCAATACAAGCTGATAGCATTGAGTAAATGACAAGCAACAGAATATAAAAACTTAGATAGCCTATTCTGTAAATGAAATTAAATAATTGTAATGGTCTCTCATCCCTCTAATATATTAATGTTGAATATCAATGTCACAGTGTGATGGGGCTCTTTTTGAACTGGAGGTGTATTTTGCTTTGCAAGGATGGCAACTGACACAGAGAACAAAATAGTGGAGGCTTTTATTTACAGTGAAGCTATTTACAACAAGCATTTACAAGACGTATATACAGTACAGTCCTGGTGTCAGGTTTCCTCCTAAGTCTCCCTCCCAGAGACTATCCCCTTCTAGCAAATCTGATTCCTCCTCCTTTTTTTGGCTTATCAAGAAGAAAGAGAGTAAAAAGAAAGGAACGAGCTGGATTTACTGTAGTGTGCTCAGCACAACTTGACTGTCTCCTGGATCCACTCAGCTGAACACCTACTGCTTCTCCATTGGGGGAAGAACCTCTCTCAAGGTCTTCTGCCCAGTCCTTCCCCAGAGACCAGGGCTTTGCCAACGACCAAAGATCCCCTCCTTCCTATCTTGGGTCTTCCGTGAAGATGCTACCTGCAGCCAGCTGAGTCCTTTCTTACCATCTTGGGTCCTGGGTGGAGCTCTCATTCCTCTGGGTCTTCACTCTCTTCTTCCAGAGAAGCCACCTCTGAACTTTTCTTCTCCCTTCCCGACCAGGAACTTCTCTGCAACTTCTCTCTCCAACTTTTCTCTCCAGCCACTCTGTTCACTCCATGCACAGACTTTTTCTCTCCTCTCCTTCTCTCTCTTTCCAATTTTAGGTCAGACCAGTAGCTTATCCTCCAGCAACTGAGGAGGTGGGTGTCCCCCCAGGGCTCTAGTCCCCAACACCTATATATCAGGCTGGGTCAATGGGACTGCTGTCACTACATCTCCCCCACAATGGCCCTGGCTAGCAGCCAGGTCAGCTCATCAGCCCTCATGACAGCACAGCTGCCCTTCAAGGCCAAAACTGAACTTCTCCCCTTTTCTCATTCCATTTGCTGACTTACACCAGCAGAACAGCAGCCATGCTAGGCGACTAAAAACTATACACCACAATCAAATGGAAAACAACAGATTTTAATATGGGCATATTTACCGTTCAAGAAACTGCTGAAATTCTGTTTTGTGTAATTCCTTTTCTGGATTTGTATCAGCATACATCTTCTGATGTCCCTTTGGTTTCTGGTTTTTTTCTGAGTCAACATTTCTGAAGTAAATCAATGTATCTTATATAAACAAGAAATGTTCAAATCAAAGTGACTTTTAAAATTTATTGTGAATAATTATATAAAAATATAATTACACAATTTAGCAGCATAGAGAAAGATCACTTTTCACTCTTGATTCCAATGCATATCATGTTGTTAGCATCATTGGAATTACCTGAGACTGATACTAGCTTTTATATTAGAAAAGGAGTTGATATTGCAATACTGAGCTCCTTTCACTTCCACCCATGGAAGCTGCACAAGCAACATCTGAAATTAATGGAAATTCAAACAACAAAAATATCGGGCACTTGCATATCCACTTAATAGTGCCTCTGGTAATATCTCAAATCCTGAACAATATAGTGTAAGCACTGCCTTAGATTAAAATGAAATTGATTCTTAGGAATGAATTGAGTGGGGAAGTCTTTTCAATTGTCTTTATATCACTGAATTACTACAGGAATGGCTTTCTCTCACATTCTTTTTAAGTGGAAAAAACATAATTCTGATAACAAGGCATCAAGGATAACAGCCGATGGAGCAACTGAGCTTTTCTTCTTCTTCAATCAGCCCCCCAGCCCAAAAGCATCTGGGAAATGGTATCCAGGAACATCCCCAGGTAAAAATGTGGTAACTTGGCTAGAAGCTATTGAGAAGAGTTCTGTTACTGCTGTTTTTACCACTATCAACAACAGTATTTTTTTTTATGTTAAAAAAAAGATGGGGGAGAAAAAAAATAGGTCACACCAATTACTATTATAATCTACCAAACGTACCTTCTAACAGATCATTTGAAGGATTACATACATACAATTCCTTCCCTTTCATGCACCTCATTGTTATTGAAAATTCATTAGAATAACTTTTAATCTAATCCTCATAGAGACATGTGCCATATGCATTCATCACTTGTATCTATATTAACAGCTGGAATCCAAAGAACCAGATAATTCCTTCCTCATGCTGAAAGAGAATTAGAGCTTCTGGTTCTTAGAAAACAGTTCTCCATATTGTGGAGCTCTCAAAAGCTCTTTGTGAAATGGTGTAGATGTCAGCTGGAAAAAGGTAAACACACACAAACTCTTGGTCAAGAGCTTGAATGTGCCTAAGTAGTTGTTTGGATCCCAGACTCTGCATGCAAACTAAATAAATCAAATATATACATAAATGATATCCCATGCTTTATGGCATTTACATCCAACAAAGAAATGGGAAACCTTTTACATTTAAAATAAACTTCATTGGAACATGGTGCATAAGGTAGAGGAATATTTTTCTGTCACAATTTTCTTCAAACTCAAGTTCAAATTGACCAAGAGTAGAGAAGTAGTAGCAATGTTAACATCTTCTTGGCTGCTGCTATAGTGACAGTAGGGATAAAGTCTCATCATAGCTTCACACTGGTTTCATGTATATAGCTACGTAACTATTAAACCCAGCTGCAGGAATAGTTTTCTTCATTTCATCAGTTATGGGTGGATGGGGGGAGGGTTTTAGATGACCTAACATGGAAATTCAAAAATTTCATAAAAGGTAGTTTGGAGAACTTTAGATCTTGCCTCAGATCTAGAGAAAAAAAAAACTTTAAAAGCTTATACCATCCATTAAATTTCTATGTAAAAAGATCTGAATAAATTTAAGAACAGCATATTCACATTTTAGATCTGGCAGAGAGAGAACTAATTATGAGATGTATGCGTCAAAGATTTCAATTTCAGGCTTGACTTTACTTTGAAGATTATT